TTTATTCTGTTCGCTGACGCCTGTTGCTTGCCTTTTTTGTGTTGTCATGTCTACTTGGTTGCTTATTTTGCATAGCACAGGTGTGCCCGCAAAAAGCAGGCAAAAGTCGTGGCGAGCAATATGTTTCCAGTCGGTTTTTTTTGTCACGCGTCCCGGACTCTGGATGAGCTCGGTGCTTACGTACTCCAAAATGGCTCTAGTTGCAGCCGAGTTGATAGCGGCGGGGGCGGATGGCTGGCACATTAATCGTGCTGTCGCTGTCGGCATTTTGGTGTGAATTGAAGGACTGAAGGACAGCAAGCTTCCTTCGTCCGGCCCTCAGGCCGAGAGTGACTCGCCCCTGCAGCTGGCTTTGCCCAAGTCCTCGCATATGTCGGCCGGTGATCGGCAGCGGGAGGTTGAGAATTTGAGCAGGACTACCCCGGTGTGCCTATTTCTGCATGATTTTATTAGGGCAACTCTTACAACCGTTGGGGATGCAGTGTGGGTCTCCTGGAGGAAAATCCTCGACAAGGACACCATGCAGCGAAAGTGAGGAATAACGTCATCCAAGCCAAAGGATGCATGTGACGACTAGCAGAATAAGTGGAGGACGTTAACGAGTCTCTTTTGGGCAAAATAGCCGCCTTCAGACGGATATCGGGACTTCGTTTCGCGGGCAGGCCGAATCCCGGACTGCCTGTTTTGAGGCATCGCGGGCACGAGAAGGAGGGTCCGCCGGACAAGCGGTTGAAGTGTTCCTTGTGTGATGCCAGGCGCATAAATGCAACTTCTCGGCGGAGAAGGGCCACTATGCGCATGGTGGTCAGGGCGGCTGGAAGGAGGATCACGGTGCGGAATGACAGGCTGAGTGTACTCCACCTTAGTTGGGGCTGGAGTACCCACTGTGGGTGAAACTGCACGATTTCCCGGGGCAGAAGATCGGCTTATTGGCAATGGACGTAACTAGCAAAAGGAGGAATATTAAAAGTGATTTACGTCCTCTTTCGAGCGCGAGGGGCAGCATGACTAATTACAAGGTTTCAGCGCATATTCTCTCAGAATTAAAGAGGCTCAGGACTACTGCTTGAGTCTCCCCGCCACAAGCCCTTCAGATGACTCTTTCCAACAACAAGTGAAGCAACAACAAGACGAAGAGATACTTACAAAGATCCACCATCCCAGCATCTTTACAGCCATACTTACTAAGTCCCTTGCGTTTCTAAATGCTATCATGGTATACCAAACAGGACCCCACCCCTAAACGAGAGGGCTTGAACCCTACAGTGCCCTACAGCCCGAGACCCCTCAACTCTAAAAGCCCTGCGCAAACCCTATGGTTTGCCGACAACGCACAAACGAGACCCTAAAACACAACTCGAAGGCAACTAAAACAAGCCCGGACCCTCGGACCGTCCAGGAACGCCCGAGGACGCCCAGGAGCCCTGGGCCGCGGCCTTTCCCGAGCCGCGCCGCGATGCAGACACTGAGGCCAGGCTTTGGGGTGCCATCAGGTCGCGATGGGGGTTCTGCAGGCCCACATACCCAAATGGTGAGGTTTTGGGTCCCACATACTGTATTTAGGAGGAGTCGTAGTAGTAGTAGTAGTAGTAGTAGTTGTAGAAGAAGAAGAAGTAGTAGTACTTCGGATACTCGATCCTCGCAGTGATTTTGGGGGCTTACGTTTAGGGCATGGGTTTTAGGAAGCTTAACAGATGTTTGACTGTTGGAATCCCAACGTTGGAATGTATTATTGCAATCAGTCTTCTGCCTTACCACTATCACTATAGGGCATGTTGCTCTTTATTCATGTGTAGGGTGTTGTGTTGATCTCTAGGGTTGCAGGCTTCGGGAACAGGGGGGCCATTTGGGTTTTGAACGCTTATGGATGTAGAGGCTTGTGGTGCTCAGGGTGGCGGGGTCGTGGACTCAGGGTTTTCGATTCTAGGGTTCAGGGGCTGCTTATTTGGAATACGGTTTGTTTTGGAGGTTTCCATTCATGGCAGCTCTTTGGGATTTATTGTGGGCTCTTGTTTCTAAGGACATTGCACAGGGATTTTTTGCGAATGAGGGTTCATGTGGTGTGCAAGGGCCGGTACCTTCAGAGCGGAACCTTAAACCCTGAATCACGTCAGCAACAGAATAAAGAGTTTGATAACCAATCCAGATCTCTTAGACAGCTGGGGAGGGACTTAAGGGTATGCTGTGGCGAATGAGGGTATGGGGTTTAGAGGTTGTTCTTGTTCTTGTGGAGCGGTGAACACATTCTGCAGGACTGGGCCGTGTTTCCGTCAGGCGGTCAGCAATAATGCCCGCTTCCTGGTGCATGCTGGGCTGTGGGGTTGATGGCAATGTATTCAAGATGCAGGTTGCCAGGGTTGCCTGCCAACTGGTTTGTTTCCAAGGTGGAAGAAGCGAATCTCGAGGTCTGCTTGTATGCCCTCATCGTCCTCATATCATATGCACCTAGCACCAAACCCTTGTTCCAAATACTAGGGCCCTTTGTTGCAGTGTATGCAGCTTTCTCTCGTGCCCGGGTATCTTGGCGATGGTCATTGCCATGAGCAGAGCCTTGGCACAGCGTTTGCTGTCTTGCATCTCCAAGGCAGCCGCAGGCCGTTAAGCCTTGAAAGAGCCGAAAGGTTCAATATCGGGCACGCCTCTTATTACATCTGTGGACTGACTTTTCTTAGGCTTACCCACGCAGACACAGACAGGCCCACACAAACACTCATTCACACACACCCACACAACATACATGCACAGACACAGGTGTGTGTGTGTGTGGGTTTGTAAAATACACTCATTTTATCATTGACATGTAAATATGTAATAAACGCGCGATAAGCGTATATTTCAAAAGAAAGAATATGCGACTGTGTAATGGATTATGCGAGAGTTTGTGTATGTAATTATGAGAGTGTATGTACATATATATATATATGTACATACATACTTACATACATAAATGCATACATACCTGCATACATACATACATACATACATACATGCATGCATACATACATACATACACATGTTTGTAGGGTCTGTTTTGAGGATGTAGATAGGTAGAGATAGATGCAGATGTAGGCAACAGCACAGACATGTAGTTAGACAGGTTGAAAGATCGATAGCTCGATAGATTTGCAAACGGATAGGTGCATGGATAGACATACAATATAGATAGATAGACAGATAGATAGATAGGAAGGTAGATAGACAGACTGATAGGTGGATAGACACATACCGATAGATAGATAGATTGATAGAAAGATAGAGATAGAGAGATAGCAATAGTTGAAGAGGTGAGCTAGAGTTAGCCGTAGCAGTAGCTGTAGCGGTAGCGGTATCTATGGCGATGGCGAGACTGATAGAGGCGATGGTGGTAGCGATAGCCGATAGCCATAGCAATAGAGATGGGGATTATATAGATGGAGACAGAGTCAGACAGAGACAGAACTGGAGCTCGTGCTAAACGTACGGCTGGAGCTAGAGCATGCTCCAGCTACAGCTAGAGCTAGAGCTGGAGCCAGAGCTAGCGCAAGCGCTAGCACTAGCGTCGAGACCGCGACACGGACACAGACACCGACATACACAGAAAGGGTCGGAGATGGATAAGACAGGCGGATAGGTAGGTAGACAGCCCGATAGAAAGTTACATAGACAGATAAATACATCTGTTCCCTTTAGACCTGAAGCCCTTATCCCGTCTTATATATACATCCGGCGTTTCTACGTGTTTTTGCTTACAATGACATGCGCCACTGCCCTGCCTAAAGCGGGCCAGTATGCCACCGGCGGCGCAGGCTGCACAGGCTGCAGGCTTTGGTGTTTGGGAACGGGGATAGAGTATGAGGTCGAAGACTTTGCTACTCGTCTCGGAGCCTTGCACAACAGGGTCTACAACAAGGTTGCAGGGAACGCTTCAGGCTGCAAGTTTGTAGAAGTCGCAGACATACTGAGGCTGTCCGCCCTGCTCGGAATTAGCGTGGATGCCGCTGACTTCTGAGTTGCCCCGTGTTTCTAAGTGTCGCCAAAGTACCCAAAACGTACCCAAAGATCGGTTTCCGGACCTGGGGATTGTTCTCAATTAGGGTCCTGTTTGCGCAGAACCCGAGGCCCAATAGAGCGGCTTCAAAAGAAATAAAGTGATGTCTTTTTTAGGGTTCAATCGTTAATATCTCATACAAGTACATATACATACATATATATATATATGTATAGATAGATATATTTATGTATATATTTACACATTTTTATCGTTTTCGAACATGCGAACAAACCCAAGCAGCTAATGTCTTACATACAAGGACCGCAACGGGGACCCTAATTCAGAAGAATCCTCATTCGTCTTCGTGAAAAAGTGCTGCTGGGTCGTTCAAAGCTTGCACCTGCCGAGTAAGTTCTCGGCTTCAAAGGTTAAGGCTTCAGTCCTTGGACTAGCATAACAGAACCTCTGCGATGGTCCTAGCTGAGCAGATCGGCAAGTTAAGCCAAGTGGAGGGGCCGTTGGCATTAATTCCGATTCTACTCGCCACTATGACCACCACACTTTCGTGACAGAGTCTAACCTCAATCAGCACTGCCAATATCAACATCATCAATGAAAGTCCTGATTTTATTGCTACTCTCCTTAAGTTAGTTATGGCCGCTATTATACCTCTGCCTGCCAACCTACCTGCCTACCTATTGACCTACGCACTTACGTACATACGTACCTGCATATACGAGCACACACACGCACATAGATAGATGAGTACATACACACACATACATACATACATACATACATACATGCATATGTACATACATACATACACCCGTGATGGCAGCTGGGCCTTGTTGCACAGATGGCTTGCCTGAATCCAAGTGTAGCGAGAGACTGAAAGATATAAGGACTTACATTGAGACTGCAGTCGAAAACCACTCAAGCCCGCAATAGAAGCTGGAACCTCATAGATACACTATCACCGCAGCCATTGAGGCTCCACTCAGGGTAGCTGTTCAGGCTCAGGGAATTTATGGAAGCAGACGGCCCCTTGGAGGCGGATCTTGATGCTCTATTAGGCTTCGTGTCGTTCGGGGCTTTGGGCCTATCGTGCTTTCGGGCATGCGGTTTGGGGCTTTCAGGGGTCAGGATTTATCAAACTGGTGTTTCGTGGACTAGTCCGGCGTTTGAGGGCTCTGGGCTTTGTGATCCCACAGCCCGAGTTCTGGGGTTTAGGGATCAAAGGTTCCTGTTTTGAGCGTTTTTAAGTCAACATTAGGAGACTGAATAGCTAGAGTTATGTGGATGAAGAATGAATATGTGCGTGTATATATATATATGCATGTATGTATATTATATATATATACACATGTGTGTATGTACGTTTATATAAGTGTGTTGGTATTAGCAATCCAGCTTCGGAGTTAAACACGTGTGTACGTATGTTTTTTTTATAAATGTGCTGGTATCTAGCAACACAGTTTGAGGGTTCTAATGCCGCACAGTCATTGAGATGACAGGAGCTGGAATGGGCGGAAGCCTGCAGATGGTTCCAATATCACCTTAAAGCACTACGATAACGACTTTTACGCATGTGGAGAGCTCTACTCTGCTCCTGTACAACCCTGCCCTGCTGCCCAGACCCCCAGCCCTCCCTTCCCCTGCTTCCCCGACAAGTTGCGAAACTTCATTTTGAGGTTTGCAGGGAAGTGAAAGACTCAAGATGGAGCGAGCAAAAGGCCTCTGGCTCGAATCCCCCTGTGGCCTGGCTCTGATGAGCCCAGGGTTACTCCCCGAAAGTTGCAAAATGTCACTTCCTGCCTTCGCTGCAGCATGCCCCCCCCTTTCTGCCCGCCCTTGTTCCCTGCCTCTGCCTCTCCTTCGCTCTGCCTAAAAGTTGCCAAATTTCCATGTTGAGCTTTTCAAGCATTGAAATGCTTAAAATGGAAGTTGTTCTTCTGCCGAACTACGCCATTCTACGAAGCACTCAGTCTGCCTTCGGGCGAATTCTAAATCTCTCGCCGAGACCTTCAACATGAGCCTTCGAGAGCGACTCTAGGACTCGACCCCGCCAAAACCCGAGCGACTCAAACCCTTCAAACCTGCGAACAAAATGACCAACCCTGCCCCAAAGTTGCCCCAACGGAGGAATTACCCTCAGCTCCCAACGACAACAAAGCCAGCAAACACACAAAAGAACTAAAACCGGAAGCGACAGCACTCCCAGCCTTGAGCCGTGAGGATGGAGGCACCAGTGTGGGATCATCGGACCAGCACGAGCTCCTCTGTCTAAGGTCTCAGGGCTTTGTGCGTTGCATTGTTGAAGGCTTGGGGTCCTCAAAGAAGGATGCTACCAGTTGCTCAATGCCAGGGTTCCCTATGCAACCGTTTGTCTGATGTCGGGGCCCGTTAATGAGCTTGCTTAGGGTTGTACAAGGCTTCTGCGAGGGCGCAATTAGGTTTCAAGTCGAGGGCGTAGGGTCCATCAGTCAGGGCTTGGCAGTGTTTCGTATTTTGTGGAATCTCTTGGGATGTTTGATGTTCAATGCCGATCAGGGGCTGTAGGATTTCGGGTATAGGACTTAGACTAGTAGATTTCAGGGATTGATAACATGGAGGCCTCATTTGTTGCTAGTTTGTGTCGGTCCTCTCCAACCCTTAGCATTTCCACCGAGCCCCAGCCCCATTCCAAGTACGTCATTACATCACACAAGCATACATGATCCAGCATCTGCTTCGAAATCCTTGAAGAGAGTTGTGTTGTTCAAAACTTCGGGTGACCTTTGTCACGGAGAAGTCTGTGTAAACTTACATATATACATACAGGTATACGCAGCATATACATATGCACATGTACACATATTCGTATGCACACCCATCTCCATATACAGATGCATGTTATACATGTGCATATCCACATAGACATACACGTACATGCACACACACATACATACATACTTATATGTGTATGTATGTATGTATGTATGTATGTATGTATGTATGTATATATATATATTGATATTGTTACACACACACATATATATATATATTTATACATATACAAATATTAGTATTAGTATTGTGTGTGTTTGCATCGATAGAAATCCGGACGCATACATGTCCCCAAATGGCGATGCAGACTGACCTGGCCATACGAGAGGAACATCTAACCGCAACTAAACTTGGTGCTTAGGGTTTGGGGTTGGGTTGGGCTTGCTAAGGGTTCAGGACCCTGAACCTTGAACCCTATTCGGGATGTAGCCACATGTTGGTTTCATGATGTAGGGTGGTCCTGAAGGTATGCAGAGATGCCTTGGAGAACGTTGCTGGGACGAGCTTTCTGGCAGCATCCAGACTTGCGACTGCTTCGTGAGGTCGTAAGGGTGCGGTTTTCGGGATATGGATGTAGGCCTTAGAGCTTAAGGGTGCAAGTTTGGGATTTCGAAGTGGCTTCACGGAGCTGGTAGACTGGAGTAGTTCTATTTAGAATATCGACCCGGAAATCCAAATAGAATGGCTAAACGTCCCATGATCCTTCGAATAGACATGCTCGAGCCAATTCTTGCACTACAGACACACACACAGATATATATATATATATATAAAATCACACACACACACACACTCACACGAAAACTCGCCCTCCCGAATCGAAGCAGGCTTTACCCGCAGGACTGTTGGTGCCACAGCTATATTCTGGCCTTGGTGATTTCTACTGACACACAATGAAACGATGGCACACAGCAGCAGATTCAGAGAAGATGCCGAGGAGGGCTTAGGAACTCTAAGTTCTGGCATTGGTGTGAGGCCTCAAGTTGGTGAATGTTTGCGGTTTCGGTTTTTGGTTGGAAGGAGGGGTTCCTGGGATGCCGACACCATAGTTTCGAGAAGTCACGATGTCGCCAGGGCACGTCCTCACAAGATTAGCAGCATTAACAATCAGTGCACTCTTCCAGTCCAGCCGCGTAGCTGCCCTTTTGCATACGTACCCCAAACATTATTCGACTTCGTAAAGCAACGGATTTCCAGATCGTGAGCCTCGAACCCCCGCTGAAGCCCAGAGCCCATAGGGCCTGTACAGGCAATCTTAACTGCCTTTGAAAGCGCACCCTGACAAGGAATTTCTCAGAGAACTTGTAAGGCCACCACAGTAGGTTCTGGCATATTCAAGCAGACACCAGCAATATCTATCCTTGCGCAAACCTTGGAACCTGCAGACGGAAGGTAGCCCCGGCTGAGATGCCAAGCCTTGGACACAAGATGGCCACCTGTCGGCTTAGAGAATGAGGGTTTGGGGTTGCAGAATCTTGCGATGTTGGGCAATGTACTGTAAGGCTTGCCAGAACCCGGGTCTAATGAAAGAGCCGCAAGAACAACTTCCAGTATCTCTCGCTAGCCGCTAGCCCTTGTGCATCTAACATAGACAGAAAATATACTGCGCAACACACAGCGCAGCCAGCCAGTTGTGTTTACCACCCGAAGCCCCATCACCTCAACTTTGAGTCTTAAACCGACCTGGCCCACATTCTTGAACCCTTGGCTGCCGCCAAAAAGATGAGACAACATTCGAACAATAACCGCTAGACTCGACCTAAACCTTAAACGCCCGACCCGGGTGGGTGTCGGGAGCCTCAGAAAATAAGGAATCCGAATAAAACCTTAGACAGTAGGATCCTGGATAGCCGGACCGCTAGACTGGCTGTCAGACAAGGTACCCCGAATGGTAAGACAAACTCTGTGCACGGTAATGGAGATGCCAAAACAAGAGTTCAACAGACTGACAGAAGGAAAGTCTCATGTGTGCAAATGCATGTGGATTTCAAGGCACAAGCTCCCTTGTTCAGGCGGAGCGTACTTAAAGCGCCGATGGGATTGGTTGCTCCAATGACTCCACATGACACGCTCCCTTCTGAAAATCTTTCGTTTCTGTTGCCATGATCAACAATAGTGGCAAGTGTCGATGTTTTGCATCTTGCTATCATTTTACTGCCAGCACTGCATCTTGGCAGCTGCTGTCAACCCTTCGGTACTTTTGCCGGCAGTTTTCCAACCTACAGTGAAACCGAGTGCCAGTAGTAATTAATCCCACCATGCACTTCAAACTTCAGAGATCTTCCGAGCCTGTATATCCGTCAATGGGTAACCAGAACGCGTTGCAAGACAAAGAATGCCCCAAGCTTTGCTTGAACCTAAACCCCATAGGCTCCCAGCCAATCGCCGCCTAAGGGCCAGGCATTTTGGATGTTTTAGGGCTTTATAGTTCCCCAACAGCGTAGCAGCACTGGTTGTGGAGCTTCCCCTTACGCGCAAGGCTTTTTGATTGAACCCATTGAAGCAATGCCATGCACGCCAAATCTTATCTCCAGACCCTAAACAGGATGAACGGGGATTCCCTCGTTCAGCCTTTCAAACGAGTCAGGATCTTTGATTCCAAACTTCCCGAAGCCCCAATACCTTTATGCACCGTCCTCCTCAGGCCGAGAGCCATCTGGGAGGTTCAAATGGGGGACCGAAGCATTCGACTCCGCCCCTAGCGGGATCCTTTGAAAGAGCCGCGAAAGCGACCCTAATTTGAGAAGACCCCATCTAAACCCTTCACATGTCACAAAGGACACCACGCAGACCTTGGGGCGAGCTATCCAGCAAGCCCTTCGCGCAAGCACAGCCGAGGTTCACTTGCTTGGGCTTGTACCAGAAAAGAGTATGAACGTGGTGTCATGCAGGAATGTACAGGTGTGCATCTTATAGGAGTTGTCTTCACTAGGACTCAGGATTCCGAGTTTTTTCACGTCGGACGGGTCGCAAGGCCAACGTGGTGCATGCTTCATGCAGGACTCAGTGCACATCCTCCACACCGGCCCGGCAGGGCACCATGCGCTGATCCAGGCCGGTGAACGGCAAACAGCCCACCAGAGAGATGCAACCAACCTCTTGGAGCTCGACTAGAACTAATGGCCGCTGATGGTGGTGAGGTTCTTGATTGCCGTGCAAATTCCGATGATTCCATCGTTGTAGCCACGATGATTCCATTGATGACCTATACTCTGAAGATGTGGTTGCCCTGGTGATGGAAGTCATGATGACGGTTCCGAGGAAGATATTCATGCCGGGAATGGTTCTCGTGGCTTTCAAGATGATCCTAATCGTGAAGAGAATTCTCCTGAGGATGTTTCACACGGGCAAGCTAACAAAGTCTTGGAGCAGAGGATCCCAACTCAATCGCAACAACCTTGCAACTTGCAACCGTTAAATGCATCGTCATTTCGACAGGGAGCCATGAAATAGTTGTTTCATAGCTTCTGAAATGGTAAATCATGTGAGAACAGTTGACAGCAGGTGATCTTCGATCATTCCAGATACAACGGCCAAGACCTGCTGCAAGTCTTGTCCAGCCATGCTGAGGCGCTTTAGTGACGATTTCAGGACCGTTCTTGACTGTGGTACTTGGAATTAGGAACTGAACTCGCTGTCGAGGCCCGGGCAAGGTGAATTCTGGGGTTGTGCAAATGGCTTGCACAGGAGGCGTTAAGGCTACCCAACGGCGAAGTAGGGGCTAAAGTGAGATTGCAGGCGCTAGATCTTGCCATTTAGAGGATTGAACTTCGCGAATTCTGCACATGAGGCCTAAACTTGGGCCCCTTACGAATTACGAACTATCCCACGGCTACACCCTTCCCAAGACCTTGTTCAACTCTAAGCCGCTAACCCAGACAGACTCTGCAAAACGGAAACCCCCAAGCCCTATGCTCAGGCTTTGGAGGAGATATCGGAGAATCGGGAAGGTAATGAGCAAGACACCGGAAAGATGATGCAGCTGAACGAGCCTCCTGGCATTCAAAGAGTTTGCCCTTTCGGGCTGGGGGCCAAAAAGAGCTATGCCCTAAAACCTTAAGCCCCTGAACCCTTCACCCCACATCCAACCTTTAGGGTTTGCCGGTGCAGGTTTTAAAGCTGTCCTTTTGAGAACTTCAGCTGGATGATTTGAGGTTAAGGGCTTCAGGGTCGTATGAACTTCGAGTAAGATTTTCGCTTCATGTTCGGGATGCATGGATTTGCCAATTGCAGCTGTCGTCTTCATCGCGGCACTGGTAGTAGTTGCAACAGCAACTAATGTTTTTGAGTATGCAACACGTGCAGCCTGGTCGTTTCCATGATGTTTGCAGATGTGGCGTGTAAATTGACATGGCCTCGCCTCGATGTCGCTGAGGCATATCACCTTGCGTCGGGTCGCGCCCCACCCGGACCCCACGGCCTGGAACCTCCCGGATGTCGGACTCTCCGAGTCGCTCCACGCGCAGATTTTCGAAAGTCCGGCGGCCGAAGTGCCCATGAAGGAAGTCTACAGAGAGATCGCCCGGCTCTTCAACAGCACGTTCGTGATCTTCATCGATCTCAGCCACCTTTTTGCTGGGGAGCCTTGCATGCTGCGCTACACTCTATATCCGGACCAGGACTTTGATGTGCAGTGGGACGAGATTCGGGCCTTAAAGAGGAATGCTCAAGGGGCTGTCGTGCAACGCTGGCATCTGCACCTCGACCGGCAAGAGCGGTGGGCGACATGTTTACGGTCGGCGTCTTCCCTCCTGCCTCTCTACGGTGCTCAGAAGCCGGAGTCTGCAGAAAAGGAGAGCATTACCGGAGTAGCTATCACAATATCAGAGGTGCACTGCCGTTGGTTTTGGTCCCTGGTGCCTAGCATACCGGCGGCCCCGAGCGACGACGGCTTCGGCTGCCGGCTTGCGAGCTTCAAGTCCAGGTTCGCTATGGAACCGAGCTGCAAGAGAGTGGCCTGATGCCTCGGAGGCAAAGCGTCATTGCCTTCATGGTTTAGCGGCTCAAAGCCCTGGGGTCTCGCAAGTCTGACAGTCCAACAATCCAATCGGATCTTAAGATATAATTAGTATGGAACTATGGCTTCAAAGACGACCACAATGCCACCGAATCAAGCTAGAGCCAGGTCTGCAAGGAAGCAGGCCTTCGCAAGTCGGGAAACAGCTCCTGAGCAGTATCAACAGAATCCGTGTACCGGTTTAGGGTTTAGGGTTTAGGGTTTAGGCCGTTTACTCATGCGGCTTTCGCGGAGATGTGCCACGAGAATCATTCCTGTCAGCGGCGCCGACGAATAGCATTCATTGCCACTTGTAGGTCGAACAGGAACGAGAATATGTACGCACGGTGGCTAACTCTGCTTCCATGTAATTACATCCTATGTCTGAAAATAAGACCTACTTACAAACCCCAAGTGTAGCAACTCAATACATTTCTATCCGGGCCACCTTGAACGCCTAAACCCTGAAAAACTTCATCGACAGGCACACTGGGTACTTGCGGGATCGGGATCCGTTGAGGCCTCCAACTCATCTGGGTCGAGCTGTCGAGGAGCTTGTTCCTATCCAGCATATCTTTGATCCTAGCTTAACCCCTTGACAAGAACGTCTTCACAGTCATAGCCTTTGTATGTAGGAGTCTTCAACAAGCGTAGTAGTGCTATGCTTCGCCTGCAGACTCTACAGCTTGATCTAACCGAAATTACCCTCACAAGAATCGCCAGTATTGAGAACCTGGAGGGCGTAAGGGCTCTTTGAGGTCCCTTTTTTGGGGGAGGGGGGCCTGTCACAACCCACCTATATCCGAAACCTTACAGCCTTACAGGAGTCTCTTAGAACCCTTCAGCCCTGAAAGCTCGTGCAGTGCAACCCAGCGAAGAATTCGATGCCTGCTTGAAGCTGGGGCTTCTCGGGTTGGCATGATACCTCTCGTGAAGCAAGAGACTTCCTGGTGAGAGCGCAGCTAGAGGCAGTGCAGGGTTCAGAGAGTTCAGTGTTCAAGCAAGGCTGAAGGGCTGTCTGTGTAGGGCCGAGATCCCTAAATCCAAGACCAACATCATGATTTTTGGGTTCTTGTGGTGTGGAGAACTCTCACCGGTGGAATCGCAGTACTTTCCTCTCTCCACTTTCTTGGCCATGCAGCCACGTTTTGGAGGATAGCTTCGCAGCTGGTTCGGGCTTAAAGCCCAGAGACCTGGGGAATTTGCTGCATCTCATTCTGACGGCCTTGTAGACAAGCAGCTGCCTCTTTGAGGTACATAATCTGGCAAACGATCATCTGACCCTTATCTTTACACCTACCGAAAATTCCAGGCGCACAGTGGCGCACAGCCGACTCCGAATCATCCCTGAGGCCTAATCCTTAAGGCCCTAAAAAGCCTCAGACACCTAAGCCCCAATCCTGAAACGAAACTTCCTTAGACACCTGAAAGCAGCATTTTGCAAAAATGCACACACACCCCAAAATCACAAACCCGAATCTTCAAAAGGTTCTAGAGCCCTTCACTCCAAAACTTTAACCCGAACTCTTTTCGACGGCAGGGATTCTTCTCAAGGCACTCAGAGTAGCTTGTCGGTAGGGGGAGAAGGGGGTGGGCAAACTGCTTCCTTCCCGATGGATCCGAGCCGACTTCGGTTGGATCTGAACCCTCAAGTTCGTCCCTTACAAAAGGGCATTGGGGATAATCCCCAATACCTTCATCCCGCATTGGGTCAAACATGCCCTAATAGCCCACAAACCCTGCCTCTAGCCCCGGAAAGCTTCCTTTGTTCGGACATGATCAGCAATCCAAGACACGTGAGCTTCTTGAGCCACAGGTACACCCAACCCAACCCCTAAACCCTTGCTACATCCTAAAGGTCCAACTCTGTAACAGAAAATTCGTACGGGGATGAATGGTGCTTCGAGTGTGTTGTACTGTTGTTCTGAACAAGCCTGTGTCTTGGATTGGGGATTCATGTAGGGTGCAGGTTTATCAGGATTTTTGGCTTTAGGATAGAAGTTTCGAAAGTTGAAGTTTGAGGGTTTAGGCTGCCAGTTGGCTTGTGTCTGTAAAAGAGCTAACATAGTGTTCTGGGGTTTCAGAGGATCCAAGCAAAAAGCTGATCAGAGCGACGTATGGGTCAAATTTCTCGTTGAGGACCTTCTCTTAGGAAAGGTCTGCAACGGATTTAGGATTTAGAGCTGATGGATTTGGCTTTACTAAGCTCTAATCCATCACCCCAAGTTTAGGCCTCCTCCGACATCCTCATGCTGGTTTCGACCCACGCTTGAATACATGCGAGCTCCTGGCCGCACGCTCCTGCGCAGAGGCAGGGCCTTTGGCTAAGAAAGCTCCGGCAGTCCTTGTGCAGCAGTTGCGCGTGGTACTGGTTCAATCAGTTTCTAAGCCCTAAATGAAGGAACTAAACCCTGGACTCGGAATCCAACAATCTCAACCCGACAGCTAAACTAAGCCCTCGAAACCCTAAACGAGTGTGCTCATGGCAGACTTGCAGTGCAGTTGCAGGTGCACCGCCCTTTTACTTGCATCTCTAAGGCCTTAGGGAGTAGGTAGTTCGAAATCAGCAGTGACGCACAGGGTGCGTTGCCAAGCATGCATGCCGCTGCTGCAGGTACAAGCAGGCAGGTCAGATTGGACCTCATGCCCGTGAAGCAAGATCCCGGTGCATTCCCCTTCAAATCCCAGTCACCATTTGAGGCTAGTGTCACTATATGACCAGACTTATCTTACACTAGGCAACCTTACAGGCAAATGGGTGCCTATCTTTAAAAGCGCACCATGTATTCGACATGCTGAGAAGTGGCTGATGGTCTGGATGACCACTATGACCAGAGGCGCCCTTGCCAACAATGTTGAAACTTCAGATACTTGTGAAGGCTGGGGCTTCGAAGCTTTGGTGGGCAGGTCGAGTCTGGAATCCGTAGACGTCAGCAAAGTTGGAAGTTTTTGCCTGAACCTGGAGAAGTTCTCAACACACGATGCGCTCATGATCCTTATGTCAGTAATTGCCAGGATGATGGTGATGATGATGAAGGTGGGGATAAGTATGAAGATGAGGAACAGGAATGATGATGATGATGAGGAGGAGGATAACGACGAAGATGATGATCATGAAGAGAAGGGTGATGATGTTGATGATGATGATGATGGTGGTGAAGATGATGATGTTGGTGATGATGATGTTGGTGATGGTGATGATGATGATGATGATGACGACGATGTGATACTTGGGTGAGGAAGTGGGGGGAGCAGATGGAAGAGCATCAGGAGGAGGAGGATGATGAGGAGAATGATATGGATGAGAATCACGATGAGGCTGAGGACGATGAGAAAGACCGAGAAGATGCAGATTCTCTACCCGCAAAGGGTGCACTGCTCCTCTTGCGTTCCGGCATGGGTATTCATGCGTAGCATATTGTAGTGTAGTCTCCCTCGAGACGCAGGCTCAGCCCTCAGGGGTTTGGGATGTCAGGGCATTTCGTTTAACCCATATCGAAATGAACCTGTTCCCCAGCCTGTCACAGAAAGCAGTGCAGACAGGATTGATCGCTGCTGTCCTGGCATTTCTTGTCCATGGCTTCGACGAAGGTTGCAGCTATGTTGGGCTGGCAAGTTTTGTTTTGCGACTCCGCGCAGAAACGACTTCATACGATCGGCAAGAACAACAGATACACCCACAACGATAATACGAAGAACGACCACCCGGCAAGATGAGCTACACCAGACACAAAGCCGTGCTGCCACCAACACGAAACATTCACGAGAACAGCAGACAGAAAACTGCCGCCACCACCTCCAGCACTGTTGCATCGTGGACTACTTCTCCGAAGCGATGCTCCTGTCGCGTAATGTTGACACTTGTGAGACATCTAACTATGTTCACCACAAAGCTAGCGGCAACCACAACAGAGGCAATACTAGCAAAGATGATGTTGAGGATGGTGATAACATAGAGAAAGATGGGGATGGCGATGATGAGTCTTGTACAAACGGACATGGTGACAATCAGCATCGTGGACAGGATCAAAACTAGGATGATGATGGAGATTGTACCGGTAGTGTACGGATATGATGCTGACGCTCACGTTGCTGTTCATGGCGTGACTGTGCTTGTGATGATAGTGTTGATGCTCAGAGCGATGATGGCGATGACGATGGCGATGATCATGAAGATGAAGATGAAGATAATGTGGGCGTTGATCTTGATTTTGTGCATGTTGACGAAGACATTGATGATGGTGCTTCTTGTTGCATAGTTCTCGCCACCGGCAGACCTAAGAAGCCTCGGGCCAGGTTGCCTTGCAGCAGGCCTGCTTGCCGACGGGTGGCATGCTGGTGCGCGAACTGGCACCTTTCCAGTGCCTCTTTGCTTGAGACGAAAGCCGAAGCCGATGAATCAGTTGATTTCACAAATGCTGGGTTCAGTCAGGACAATTTCTCCTTCAGTTCCTGACGTCGAATATTGGAAATCTTGCGTCTTGAGATAATCGCTAGTTTCGCCTTTGTTGTTGGAGTTCTGTGCAGCAAGGCACCACGACAACGTCAACTTGGTCAACAACTTCTTCAACTATACTTCCGTTCGACTGCTCCGCTGGCTACAACAACAGGGAGTTGAGCTGGTCAGATGCGAAGAAGGAGTGGTGCTGCTCCAACCAGCAGGTCGGGTGTCCATCCACTTCAACCTCGACTAGCACGGCCACTAGTCGAACGGCTTCATCAACAAGCAAAACCAGCACATCCAGCTTGACATCCACATCAGCCTCACATACCCGCACATCTTCCACTGTGTCCAGCATATCAACCACTAGCACTTCTGCAAGTAACACACACACGTCTGCCACTGCAACCGCAACAACAGCTACGATTACAACTACGACCGAGACAACAACAATGTGGTTCTTCTGCGATGTCGGCTACAGCAACTGGGAGTTGAGCTGGTCAGATGCAAAGAAGGAGTGGTGT